TTTTTTTTTTAAGATGTGGTATTTTTTAAACATTTATTTATTTATTATTATTAATTTTTTATGTACGTGGTGCTAGGGACCAAACTCAGGGCCTTGTGCATGCAAGGTAAGAGCTCTACCACTGAGCCACATCCCTAGCCCTTCGCTTTGGTTCTTGCCACAGCCTAGACCCTCATCCTCAATGGATCTGAGAATATTCACCTCACAGAAAGAATCTGAGGCCCAAAGTTCCCTGGGGCAGAAGGGAGGAGACTCTCAGATGATCATAGAGTAACTATGGTTAGTATGCATGATTCATGGCTATACTTTCTTTTGTGTTTCTCTTGCATTCTTTACGTTCCATGAATAGTAGTTGTTTTGAAAGCCAGTCCTCACCCACCAGGGTGGTTTCAAGTGCTTATTAGCTCAGTCTACATATCCAAGATATCTCCATTTCCCTGGTCTTCCAGTGTTGCCCTGGGCTTTTAACATCTGTGGTGTGAAGTGCAGCCTCAAACTGTTATGTCATATAGGCAGGCATTTTCAAATTTTTCTCAAACTCAGGCTATCATAGGCCACATATGCAGGGTTCAGCTTCCACCCACTCTCCTGACCCTACTCAAATGCAAGCATAAGGTCCACAGTCTCCAGTCTCCCCCAGCATTATTCCTTGATGCTTAAATTTGCTTGCTTAGGTGTGATTGCTAGGATTTTCTTTCTGTTTTTGTTTTTCTCTGTCTCTCTATCCATCTGCCTCTGTCTCTGATTTTTTCTCTCTCTCTTTCTCTGCCTCTCTGTCTCTGTGTCTGTCTCTGTCTCTCTGCCTATCTCTGTCTCTGCCTCTCTCTGTCTCTCTTTCCTTCTGATCTCTGTTTCTCTTGTTTTTGTGTAAATTTAGAATCCAGATTTGTGTGTCATTGTTTCTGCTATAAGGCATTTAAGAAATTGCAAGTTTAATTTATTCTGTTCCTCTTCATTGTGTGATATGTTGCTCTATTCAAAGTACTTTTATGTGAAAATGTTGACAAAATTTTATAGTTATCTCCATGAAGTCTTCAGACATTTTGGTAGCTTGTTTAAGCTATTTCTAGGATTTGTGTGTACAAATTTTATATTTGAAACCTTAAAAAATTGTAAACATTTTTTATGTGTACTGGAGGCCATTATGTTAAGTGAAAAAAGCCACCACATAATATGAAGTACCTCAGGTACTGTATCCTATCGGGAAGCTTAAGAAACTGTCAATTTGAACATACAACAGGGTTTACCAGAGGTGGGAAGAGAGTTCAGGGAGATTTAACAAAGCAGGCCTGCAGTGATTAGCGTGCACGGTCTCCGTGCTGTGATATACCATAGCAAACTCCATTACTGCATATAAGTTCTACATGCTGAGTACAATTGAAATGAAAATCATTAGGAAAAATAAATGCTGTGGGATTTTTCAACCTGCTAGCCTGCCCTACAGACTTCAAATGTGTCAGATGTCAGAATCACATGATCTAAGTCTCTCAAATATCTCTCTCACAATTTGAGTTTCATTCCAAAGATGTTTTTATGGTTTAGATCTAAAAGGACTTGCAGATGTCTCCCACTTGGGGGTGGGGATGTTTACAAGAGGTAGGCCACTGAGATACATGTGGAGA